ATTAATTAAGAGAAAAAAAACTTTTGAAGTGATAATCAAGCTAGCCCAGTACAGACAGACTGTACAGTTTGTTAGTCTCTAAGGTGCCACAAGTCCTCCTGTTCTTCCTAAACTGCTAAGACGTGTTCTTTATTTTGATGGTAAATTCTGTATTATTTTTAAAAACCAGAAATGCACAGATTAATTAGTTCTATTATTTGTATAAGGGGTAACGTTCTCCTGAGTTGTATAGAACTTGCGTTTAATTGCATTGAGATTTCTGGTGAAATCATAAACCAAGGGTGCAAAGTTCAAATGTCTGTGTCCATTGCGTGTTGCAGTATCCGCTTGCTATTGCTGTCGCCACTCTGGTATGGAATTACAGCTTTAATTTATGTACACAGGATGGGACTCAATATTTAACATTATCCAGGGATTTCAGTTAATCCCTATGAATCAAATACTCCTTCCCGAGGAGGAGGGATTTATGTAAGGAACTGGGGTACCATGAGGGGAAGGAATCCTTTTCCATATGCCACACAATGACAGTGGAACTTTGCTCTACATGAGTGACTCTACTCCACCCATGGAAGATAGGTGAATGCTGGTGGCACTCCAGCCTGGCTCCAAAACCTCTGTGAACTGGCTCCAACTTTGCTCATCCATGTACAAAGTACTCAGATCCTCTGGACAGGATCTCAGCATCCTCCTTCCTCAATGCCCCTGGAACTACATAGGTTCCCCCCTGTGGTCAGGTCCCCACCAAGCGACAAGGGCTAGGGGAGGGGATAGGATTTGGGCCCTTGCCTTTAGACTGTAAACACTTCAGCATAGAGTCCTGCTTGTGCTATTTCACCTATCCTACAGTGCTATGTACACCAGTGGCATTATGTATGGAGTTGGTGCCAGCAGCCTGCTGGAACTTGAAGCATCTGAGAAGCGAGTTCCTATGGCTGTAGTTGAAGCTTTAAAAGTGTCATCTCTTTGGGCATTTTCATTTTCAAAACTTCTAAAAGCTACAGCTGGGATTTTCCCCTCAGATGGTGGGAATCCCAGCAGGCAGCCAGAAGTGAGTCTCAGCAGCTTCTACAGAATAGAATATTTGCCTTTCCGTGAAATAGCTCTGAGTGGCACCCACTGCAATCATGGAGTCTTGGAAAGACTGTAGGCTCGGATACCTTGCTTGGCTAGGTCTCTGATGACTGGCTCTGTTGCTGAGTGTAGGTGGCTCTATGGAAGAAGATGCCATTGAGGCAGACCCCTGAACAATAATGTGATGATTTAGTTATTAACTACACCACTCCAACTGTGATCAGGACCCCACTGTAGTAGGTGCTGTACATCCATAGAGTAAAAGACAACACTTCCTGAAAGAGTCTATAATCTGAGGAGTCAAGACAGAAAGTAGTATTATCCCTATGTTACAAATAGGGAACTGAGGCACACATGGCAGAGATGGGAAGTAAAACGTGATCTCCTGAGGCTGAGACAAGTGCTTTAATCATAACAGCAGCCTTCCCTGCTAGGATTTAATCTGTGATTACTCAGAGTGAATCTTGCATAACACTTCAGGGTCTTGCCAGGACTTGGAATCTGCACCTTTCCACCAAAACACCAGAGCATCTCTGCTGCTGCCATTTTCCTTTGAATACAACAATGGAATATAGAGAGCTAAATAACACGTGTGGTGAATATGTTGTCCTCAATGTTCTGAAACATTGCGACAGCAGAGCAGTTTAGTGACAGGCCCAAATTCTATTCTTACTATGATGTGCCTTTTGTTGACATCAAAGGCATCTCACAGGAGCGAAACGAGGGATGAATTTGCCTCAGTGTCTTTGCTTTATGTGGGTACTCTAACAGTGTGGGTACAGTGCTGTCTTGCTGAGACACAAAAGACTAACATCTCTCATCTGGCCTTTCAAGAGCATGCCTCTAGATACTGAAGGTTGGACTCTCCCTTTATCTCCACATCTCAATGCAGACATTTTCTGTTTACAGTAGTGACTCATGACCCTGTGAGTGTCACTCTGCCTCATTGCTACTTTGGACTCACTTTTTATAGAGCACCACACCTTCCTTAATGGCAAAGTGTCATATTTCCACAGCTCCATCATTGCGTGAAATTAAAAGTGGCAGAGGGGCAGGAGAGATTCTCATGGACACTCCTGGCGGGTATCTGAGTTATTCTGGTCTGAATCCCCATGTGTGCATTCTGATTTGGGAATTAGAGGGCCTGGGCTGGGTTTAATTTATACAGCTTCCCCTGCCAGTCGTCTCTGCCTTTTGAGTTACGTTGGAAAGGCCTCGGTGCTATCATTTGTACCACCTTATCGCAAGAGCTGCAGCGAAGGTTGCCGAAAGGTCCCTCATAAATAAAAGGCGTCACTGTGTGAAATATTCACCTGTCAGGGCTGAGGCTGCAAAACCTTGTACCCAGCATGGAACAAAGTCAGCTGGCTTCCAGCGGAGAAAGCCATCCGGGCTGGGCTCTCCAGGCCCTGGCTTTGGGTTCGTACAGCCCCGAGCGCGCCCTGAGCACCGTGTCCAACTGAAGCCAGACACCCAAAACCACCACTCCCAGCAAACACCCCGACTCCAGAGCGGGCACCTCAGCCGAGGGGCCTCCCCCAGGGCCCTGTCACAGTCACAACGTGCGCAGTGGGGGGGCTGCGAACCACCTGCATAGGGTGGAAACCACTTGGCGCCCCTC